TATATATATAGCGCGTGTGTGTGTGTGTTTTCATTTGCCTTTGTGTGGGTGCGTGCGCGTGTGTATGTGAGTCCATACATTGTTTACGTATGCCTTTCAAAGATACTAGTAAATTCGGCATGAAGATTTTAGATTGGAGTACACGATTCGCATCTGCGTGAGGTTTTGATCCGGCAGCACCCTTCACTTCACACGTAGGCATTGAGTACTCACAACATCGTGTCTGTATTCTTGTGTATCAGGTGCCCGCCACGTTCAATAAGATAAACTGGATTTTGCATCTTTCGCACCTTATCACTTCAATAGAGAACGCCTTTGTCCATCGCTCGAACATTGCGAATCTCGACCGAATTTTAATTTTGGTAGCTTTACCAGAATTGACACTGTTTTTGTAAAACTGACTGCTTTTGGTCACAGATGGCACGGAGGAGCAAACTCTATTGTCTATCGCTATGTCGCTGGGTCAGGAATGCTTGCTCACTACTCACAAGGGAAGCGAAGCCGCTGGCATAATGATCTCTGCGTTTCTCACGAGAGCTGGAGCGCTCCCTAAAGAAAAATCTGATATGGTGAGTGATTTTTGTTTTCCATCGTCACTACCTTAATGGTGACGGCTGATGTTTACCCCTATGCTATCAACTACAATATTGCTTTCATAGTTCGTACAGTACTCTCTTTGTATTTTGCCAAGTGTGCACATTGAATTATCACTTGTGTTTTACACAGATGGTATGGGTGGAGTCGTCTATTCGAGGTATCGTGAACGGTCCGACCCAAGCTAACAGTGCTCATCAAGCCATCTCCATACTCCGTATGCTGGCAGTGATTTTGCGACTGGGTACTCGGGAGGAGGCTGTGCAGCATTTCACGCCGACTGTATTCGCTGTTACCGACCTCTGCAGGAGTTGCCCCGAGTTAATGAGACAGCATCTGGTGCACAAACTGCTAATCAAAATGGAATGCCGGGCACATCTGGCGCATCTGAAGCCACGAGTGCGTAGTGGGAAGTTTGAAAACGGCAATAGGCTACCAATTTCTGAGGGCGCATCAGAACAAGTATCCGAACAAGGGGAGGACCAAGTTCCTGAACGAGTCGAAGACTTCATCTCCACAACATTTGAGGAACTCAATCACCCCAGTACAGGCGTGCGATATGCGGCCGCGAAAGCTATCGCTCGTCTGGCTGAGCGCCTTCCCACCTTAGAAATGGTCCACGATGTCTGTGGGGGGGTTTTAGACACGTTTTCTGAATCGCTGTCAGACACGCTTTGGCAAGGAGGTACTGTGCGGCTCGAATTTGTCGTCATCGAAGTGTAGCTTAAACATGATATCCGTCTATGTGTATATGTTAGAATACCTTCTTCGCTGATATACCCTATTATTGCACTCTCAGGTTGCTTAACACTAGCGGAGCTTGCCATGAGAGGAGTTATGGATGAAAACCATATGAGTCAGCTTATCGATGTTCTCTGTAGATGTTTGGCGTACGATCGCGTCATTGGGACAAAGCCTGTTGGTGCAGCCGTTAGAGATGCTGCATGTTATCTTGCTTGGGCATTAGCGCGAGCATATAGCGCAGACTGTCTGCGGCCGTACTTACACGAGCTGTCTAATTCCTTAATATTGGTTATGTGTTTTGACCGGGAAGTAAATTGTCGCAAAGCTGCTTCGGCTGCCTTCCAGGAGCATGTGGGTCGTCAAGGTGAGATAACGAAGATTTCTGCGTGCGTTCTTTCTGTACACAATCCTGTCCTTGTACCAATATGCCACCTATCTATATCTCCACAGGCACATTCAAAAATGGTATATCCATTGTGACGAATGCTGATTATTTTGCGGTCGGGAATCGTCATAACAGTTTCTGTGTGGTGGCGCCGTACATCGCTCAATTTGAGGAGTATCGATTGCGGCTGCTTGGTCACCTGTTTAATGAGAAACTCGTGCATTGGGACCAGGTATGATCGGAAACCGACAAAGTCATTCCTGCCTTATTCTCTGAACCCACACATTTGTACTGACTGCGTTTCTTTTGCTGGTACGTAGTGTCAGCCCGGCTCTCCATCTCACGTTTCAGAATGTATTCTTTTTCGGCTATTTTATGTCTTTGGGCTATTGTATTCTACCTCGTAGAAAATAAGAGAAGTGTCGGCTGCCGCGGTTCGGAATTTGGCAGCATATGATCTTGAATACCTACTGATTGATGCACTACCAGCTCTTATTGACAGATGCGGACTCAGCAACGACATGGGGAAAAGGTGTGCTCGAATTGACTATGTGTGGTTCAAGGATTGCTGCACTCGTCTGCATATGTTTCTTGAATATGTAACCAAGGAGTATCACTAACGAAAACAGTACACTGATTGTCTTCGCATTAGTTGTCTTGAGTGTGCTATTGTGGGTAAGCGGAGTACAGAAGATAAATTGTTGTGCGAGTATTATTCCGCTTGACCTGGTCTGTGGATATAATGCTATACCGCGCATCAGCTATCATTTCTAATCGTGCATCCGTTGTAAACTATACGAACAGGCATGGGTGTCTCCTGGGCCTCGCATCGACCATGCCAGCGCTACGTGCGATCGTAGATGCTGAATGCACCAAAGAATGTGGTGAAACCGCCGCGCCGAATCGCGTCGATGGACTTCTGAGCCGTATAGGAAATTTGGTACATTTCTGCGAAATTTTCCTTGTACTATCTGTGCAATGTAATTTTGTCATCTGCGCTATTCATGAGGCTTTATTTGAGTATAACTAATGTTCGTGTGCGTCACAACTACTATCACCAGGTCAAAGTCTTGTCGATGCCACAAGTATCGTCTGGTAGGGTGTCCAACGTTAATCTCAGGGTCGCCACTTGCACTCTGCTGGTATGTATATGCTCGAACGGCATTCCTATCCCTGACCGCACAGTCGTGACAACGACTGACGTGCAAGTGAGCATGGCTGAGGCGATAGTGCGAATCTGCTCGTCTAATGCGGCGCATCCCACCGAAAAGGTACAGATGTCCGCTGCCGAGACATTCGGCGCGTGGTGTGGCTCTCTCTGCAATCAATTCGATCAGTACAGCACGAAGACGGATACGGTCGGCTCTACGCAGTCACACCAAGCGCGCGACGCGTATCTCAGCCAAGCAAACGAAAATCGTAGACATCGCTGTTTGGCTCGATTAACTATCGGCAGTTACTTAGAACATCTGGCTACTTTCTCCATCGGGGACAAGGCAGTAGATATGTCGGACAGTAGCACACATAGATGGGGATATCTAAGGTTGCTGGGGTCTGTTCCGCGCGGACTACTGCTCAAAGATCAACAATGCGTGGATGCTGAATGTGACGGAGTAAAGTGTGAACCGAGGTCTTTATCGACTGAGGCGATAAACTGCCTCCACAGACATAGCTCAAAGCTGTACGATGTAACAACCCGTGTAGTCGCTCTCAACAGTACTGAATCGATATGCCGACAAATCGGGTTCGATTTCGAAACGGATCGCACTGAGCACTCAGCCGGAGTTGCATCTACGGATACAGACCACAAAGGATTTGATACACGGATAGCTATTATGTTATGTGATATCTTGAGTCTGGCACTATCAGACACCACCATAGACCACCGTGGTGACGTCGGAAGCGATGTGAGGTCCGCGGGAATTTCGCTTGCGTGTACTGTTATCCCACTGATGGCGTCTGCGGATTTGGCAGTCTGCAAAACTCAAACATCCGCCGGCTCTGAGGAGGCAGAGATTGCGTCGCCAAAGACACAGGTTCTTAGTGCGGAACATTGTGGCAATATTATTGGGCTGTTGCTAGAACAGGCGATGAGTCGCATTGATCGGCTGCGAGAGAAGGCCGGACAAGTTCTTTCACAGATTGTTTGGTGTGATGAGCCTACGTTGGATTGCATTCCGCACCTCAGCTCATTACGCGAGATCCTGGGCTCAGACGGCGTCAAGAAAGGTAAACACATATTCCGGGCTATGCGCCATATTGAAATGTGACTTCCGTAGCATGTTTTGAAAGTGCATCGGCAGTTTGTTTCTATCTGTACATATCGTCATCTAATCTAATTATCTCGGCCGACAGAATTCAATTGGGGATCCTTACAGGAAACTCTGCCAGCCCTGTTACACACGCTGACCATCCCGGACTATCGACCCTACGCAATTCGAGCGCTGGTGCTATGTATAGGGGCCGGGAACGAATCGACTGTATGTGTCGCTCAGGACGCTCTGGACTCCTATTGTCTGACCTCTACTGGTATGTTTTGTACGCTCATTAGAGCCAAAGTATGTTTCTCGGCATATTGGTATTTGTAGATCTGACTTCAAGGTGCAGCATGAGTGTTAGTCGTTAGCGTCGTCTCGTTAGGCGTCGCTTTGATTCATTTCGTATTCACACCCCACAATCAAGTTCGTGTCACGTATGTGTAATATACATCGACAGTACCCATACGTGAAAAAAGACTCCGCAAAACACCCTTATATATATCTAATCCCTGCTAGTACGACAAGAAGTGCGAGGCGGCCCTCACAAGTCAGATAATTTAATCTTAGCAAGCGCTCATGCCGGAACATGCACATTTTAATTCACTACCCATATACATTTGCAGCCAACGAACTCTGCGACATAGTAGAAGCGGTGTGTTCTAGTTTCAGCCCAGGTGGCACAGATTCCAGTAGATTGACTAGGCCGGGCCTAGAAACGCTTTCATGTCTACTGAGCACGGCTGTACCGATCCTAACTGCGGCGGCAATAGGAAGGGAACAGCAAACATTTGACACAGTCCTCAATTCCTTAAAGCATCACATGAAAACAACCAACGTGAAGAAGCTTACGGCTGTATCGAACGCCCTGTGTCAATTAATACCAGTCAAATCAATTCAGAAACAGGTTCTGAAGCTCCTGTCGGTTCTGCTGGGGCATCGGTTTGATCATGTATATTTATTCGATTGAACTTGAACCTGAACCTGAGTCGTGCTTTAATGATCAAGCGCTACAGACTGGCGTGCTCAACTTCATCGGACTTTTAAGTGTACCACCATTAACCAGAAAGGCCTAATCCTGTTCGTTTTGCAGGTCAGAGTCATGGCGGTGGATCAACTAAATTTAGCACTGCTAACATACGAGGACGACTTGGACATGCCCGTCGATGAGGCGTTGTGCTTGCTAGACGAGCTGCGGTACGTCCCCACTGCTTGCTGATAGTGCCGAAAATAAGTTGCGAGTCACTAGGTGCATCTACACTCCCTCTGAATATATGTGTGTTTTTTTTTTTGCTGCAAGCAGCCGGTTGTCCTTACCAAGTCATCTGGCGATCCTTTCTACGATTCGCTAATTTGTAACCTCTAATCTCTGTTTCCAAACACTTGACATGCTTTCACAGAACACTGACCGATTTGCAACGAGCGCGGAGATGCAGGAATAAGATCTGCGTTGAATTGGACATCCCGGCCCCTCAAGCTGTGCATCGGTAGCAGAACAGCATGCAGTCCCCCGTGGTTGCTCCATCAGCTAAACCCGCACACAATGCAAGCGCGCACGATCTGGTACTGACTGCTGCGGTCCCAGCCAGCCCCAATATGCCTACATTCCTCTCGAAGTTTCTGCAACCAGCGCACTTCCCGGTGAAAAGTTCCGATGGAGTTGAAGCACTCACGAAATAGGTACAATCTACGTGTTGGGCTAGCTCACAGGAATTTGAATGGAACCGCACGGCCAGCCGCTAGGATGGTCGAAGGTGAGGAACCTTATCTCTACGAAAAAAAGGTGCGGAGTGGTTGAAGAGATTTGCCGCCTCACATGGACAGCAGAGCTCCATGCCTCTTCTAATTGGACGAAAGAATAACACGAGTAGCATGCCGGTTGCTGGTCGCGGCTAACAAGGTAGTCTTACTTCATCTGTTGGGCTTTACCTCCCTACCCAAATCACTCGGTGTGACGACACTTGTCTACGCATAGTCTGTTATTTAGCATTGCTGAGAACTGGCACTGGTTGCCGTACGAGCGTGATTTCCTGTTGTTTGAAGTATCTCCGATCGTCTTCGTCAACTAATACCATATTAAGGAAGTATCGGACGGAGAACCGTTTACATACATCCCACATGGTCGGCTGAATATTGTCTACGCCGGATAAAAAGAGACGAATAGGGATGGTCTCGCCTGTAGATAAAGAATGAAAAGAATATATCAGGCAATTGATTTAGTAATAAAGACATTTTTGATCGCTTAGCCTTCACACAATATAACTCGTCACTGATCGTTGAAATACGCCTCGTCTATAGCCTCTAGTCTCGGGTAAACCTTCAAACCGATGCCAAATACCTAAACATAGAAGCAAACGGAAAGACTGGCTTACCATTCGCTGAGATGCCATCCATGATCTCAAATTTGGTTATCGTGTCGCTATGTGTATATGTTTGGCTCCCCGAGCTGCGTACAAAGGTGTATTCGGAATACAACAGATTGTAAGAAAAACGTATGGAATCTTTCGGAAATCAAATGCACAGCAAAACTCGCAATGAACGACGACGGCCTCTGTTATGGTAACGTACCCAACAGTCTCTCTCCTTACGATGGCGAGCTCTGAGAACTTTAATTTTAAACGCACAACTAAAAAGAACAGTTTCCCGATGATAACGTCGTTGAGATGGTATCTGTTACGTGAAATAGGTTGAAAAAATGAGATATGAACATTGCTGGAAGCAATATGAATACAAATGCAGTACGAACAACATATCCAATGTAAGGATAGTGAGATGCGCGGTCCAGCAGTACAATTGTATAAAGGAGCAGGTCAGCAATGGTGTAACAATAATTTTAGCAGCTAATTGAGATTCCTGATGAACAATAACGTACATATTCGTACATAGTTTTGTGAACATATTTCCCTACTCCTAGCGCCAAAACATAGATTTGTGCAAGAGCTAATGTAGCGTTAAAGTGTGTATATCAAAGGCGAGATGTGGCACACTCAAAAAAAGAAAATGGATCAGTGAGAATTATTCAAGTATTGCATGATGAAAAACGAGATCAGCATATTGAATCTGCCGCATCCGTTTAGAAAACTTGGCATTTAAATCCGCACTTGATTCTCATGGGAGGATAGAAACGCTCAGCTCACAAAGAAACTTCATTTTTCTTGCAGGTTTCGAAACTCTCTCGATTTTGAAATAGATGAATCACATATCCCGATTGCAACAAATATATTCATGTCTCGAACAACCCTATTTATACATATATTGGGGATAAATACTCACTTTGCCTTTGAATACTCGAACTCAATGTGAAGCGCATCCTCAATTCCTAGTTCCATCTTGAGCCGCCTGCAAAGGGAATGATCGAAAGCAAATACATAATTGTTCCTTCAGCACAGACCGTTCATCTCAGATACACTCGACATGATATTCAGTGTCGCTGACATAAGATTAGGCCCTGTATAAAAGGCGTATGACCACATTGTAAGCAAATCAGTGCCAGATAGAGTACATACGGTGTAGCAGTATCTTCCTCCTCCGATACACCATACACGAATAACTCCTGTTCCTTTCTGAAATCTCCAAATCTCTTTCCAATCGTTACCCTCAGGTAATACCTGTATAAGTCGAACCGGCATATAATAGATTCATGCCATTGGGGTGAATTTTCGAAAACTGCTCCAAATGCTTCCAAACGAACGGAAGCAAACAAAATAGCACACAGCAGAATGAGCATACCTCAGCCTGACGTTGGTTCCATGGTAAGTCTCATATTGCTTCTCAACGTGTGTGAAGTTGAAGGGATACGATGAAGTGCTTGTCAGCACGCCGGGAGGTGCTAATTCTCTCGCCAGACTCACAAACTCAGTCGAAAGCGAGGATTCAAATGGCAGCACTGTGTTATAACCGATGTCAACGAAATACAAATGTCAGATATTCCAGCTTGTGCCATGCTTTGATACGAGAAACATATCTACACCAATGCCACTCACAAGTCTATATAGTAGATAGAAACTAATAACCAGTACGCTACAAGTAAATGCAGAAGGTATATACCATTGAAAATGGTTTTCAACTTAATCACCCCAGAGCTAGTTGAAACAGTAAGATCCCATACAAAGATGAACATGAACATAATAGATATTACATATCAATACATCAATACATTAACATATCGATATGTCAAAATATCTATATTTCAATATATCCATATA